GGACCAGGCCAGGCGGGTCGGCCCGGGACCGGCAAGACGTGTCTCCTACCTTGCTCTGGGAAAGGGAGACGAGAGCAGCGCAGAACTGAAGGGTCTCCTCCCAGGCGCCGGGGACAGGCTCGAAACCGCGCCCCTCCTTCCTCCTCTCCTGTCGCCACGCCCCCCTGGCCCGCACGGATTCGAGACACGGCCGGCGCAGGAGGATTTACCCCCTGAACGAGTGCCTCGGCGTGGCTGTCGCTGTCGTTGTCTTCGTCGCCGCTGCAACCGCCACTAACGCCACCGGGGCCGGGCTTGAAAACATCTCCGGTCTCAGTCCGTCTCTCACCGCAGCCTCCTCGCTCCCAGGACAGCACCGCCCAGCGATTGGTTGCGCTGCTGGCACGTGATCCCTGCGGGCACGTGACTCCCGCGGGCACGGGATGGACGGCGTGACCGCCCCGCCCCCGGCGCCCGCCCCTCTTGCAGCCCTAAGACGCTCGGGAGCCGCAGGGCGGGGGAGGCGGGATGTACCAAGTCGGAGGCGGTGGGGGTGCGCGCCGGAACTCCACCCTCCGGTCCGCTGTCACTCGTCGGAGAACGGAGGAGGAATGAAAGGGCTGAGCTAGGGGACAACAGCGCATTCGCCGCTGACGCTGTCGGACAGGCGGGCTTTGCAGTTGCTTTGGGAGGCGACTATGGCAGTGGCTGTGACTGGAAATTTCTGGAAATGGCGGCAAAGGCGATGAAAAGGTTCCACGTAGGGTATTCTAAAGTTATTTTTGCAAGGGGTGGGTTAACTGGACAGTTTGCAGCTGGGCAAAACGACTCCGTGACCATGACTTGAGGCCGACTTTGGTTTCTTCCCGCTACGCTAGGGCCGGGGCCGGCTCGCCTCGCGGTTGAAAGATAAGTGGTGACGCGCGTGCCCGCGCCGCACTGTGCCCCCTTAGCGGGCTACATCTGCGGCATTGTACACTTGCGTGTAGGACATGCCCCCTTCCAGTTAGAGCTTCCAGCTGTGTGTGTGTGTGGGTATGTGTAGTATTTTTGAGTTTTACCTCTGTGGGCATCTCACTGTGTCCACCTCCGGAGTAGCTGAGACCACACGTGAACGGCACCACACCTGGCTCTCACGTAGGTCTGGCTTACATTGCCCACACTTTTAAGCTAGCGGATAGCTTCAAGCCCTCCTGCCTCAACCTGCGGAGTAACTGTTGATAGCAGGACTGCGCCTTTTTTAAAAAATTATTTTAATTTGTCATTATTTTTACTTTTTGAAAATTGACCAGGGAGAGAAAAGGAAAGTGAGAGACCTGGGTGTCAGGTCCGGGACTTGAACCACGGGCCTTTTTAAAGTGATCAGCCCAGGCCTGCCTCCTGACCTCAGCCTACTGATGGCGCTACCCTGGTGGGCCTCCAGTGTTTAATTTTCTGTATGTGGTACTGCAGATTTCCGAGGGAACTGCTCATGGTCTGAGTAAGAATGTCTAAGAAAAACTTACCGTTTCAGTGTTGGTGTAGCTACAACCTATACTCTCAACGTCTTTTGGACACTTTAGAGATTAATGTGCAACAATGTATACAGGCCTTAATTTAACCACCTGAAGAATTACATATTCAATGAGAAACTATCTTTTCTGACTTGTTAAACCTGGGGCCTTTAAATTCCTACAAGATGCATTTGTGACTTAATGAAAAGAGTGCAGTTACAAATTCATAGATTGAATTTTTTTAAGAGGTTTTTGCTATAGGGCGCATGCGCTTGGCAGACAGAGACTGAGAGACAGAAAGCGAGAAATCACCGGTGGGGGGGAGGGGGGATAGCCGCGCTGCAATCCCTTCTCCTCTGTTCTTCTCTTGGGATCTTGGGCATGCGCGCACACGCGTCCAGCGTGAGTTTTAAGCCACTGGGTCTAGGACGTGAACCGCGGTCAACTACATGGGAGTCCAGTACGCTAACTGCTTGTCCCGAGTATTGAATTTTATGCCACTAATGAACTGAGGTTTCACATGACTTTCAGACTTGACAGGGAAACAAGTTCCATTACTGTGTAAAACATAAATGTGCTTTAAAGACCAGGATATTTTCCCTTATTAGGTTCTGGATTTCTCACACCTATAAAAACATTAGGTTCAATAGAACTGAAGAGCTAGAGAAGGAATAGTGTTACATTTAAATTGTAAATTTATGACATGAAACGCAAAGAAAAAAAAAATTGTTGCTCATGAAAAGTTCAACAGGGCTCAGGATGAAAGACATTTTCCTTGTTATCTTTTTGTGCTACTTTATTGTTTACCTATTATGGAGTTTTAAAAAACCCTTAATTTGAAAGACATTGTTAATATTGTTTTAGGCATCATGATTATTAGTGAATAGTTTCTGGGGGTTTTTTTGGCATGTTTTTGCCTTAAGGCACATGTGGTGTGGGGGGGGGGGCAGTGAGAGGGAAAATGAGAAATCACCCTCTGGGGGATGGTCACACCACCATCCCTTCTCCTGCATTCCCCTCCCAGCATGTGGGCATGCACTCATGCTCCCAGCATGAGTTTTAAACCACTGGCTCCCTAACCCAAACGTGGTCAGGCTCAGAAGCCCAGCACATTTAACCATTAAGTCATCTGCCCGCACTAGTGACTATCTCAAGAGCAAGACCAGTAACAGAAAACTCGTATAACAATTTGATTAGATTCATGCACGTATTAAAGCTAGCTATAATTTTTTCTCATTTGCAAAAAGTTAAAGTACTATCACTACTCTGCTGAACTGGATGTAATGTTTTTATCCTTTCTTTTAAACCGTAATATCCACATAACTGAAGGATATATTTTGTGTATCCACTGATCTTTCCAACTCAGACTTCCAATGTATTCCAATTACTTTTTGTACATGTCAGTGTTTTATTCCTTTAAAAAAAAAAAACCAGTTATGGAGACAAGTATCTTATCCTCTTTTATAACTTCAGTGTGCTTTACATGTTATTTACCAGTTGGAAGTAATAATGACAGCTGTGTGTTGGAAATATAAAAATGTTTAAGGGAAGGACTGACAAAGTTTATGAAAAGAGCATGTTAACTTAAATCTTAGCTGTGGTTAAAGATGGGAAAGCAAAATATATTTTGAAATTTGACAATCTTTACTTCATAGTAACCTAATACTAACTATAAAAGTGGCCTAGCAGTTGAAAATGAAGTGATGTTGGAGTAACTGTTAAGTAGATTATGTAATAGTCTTCATAGCCACAGATACCAGACTTTAAAATGGCAGTCTCGTTTTGACATTATTTTGACATAATACAGCTGCAAGTTGCTAGGTTACCACCAAGATATACAGAAAGGAGAATAAACAAATAATATAAAAAGTTTATGTAGGTAGGAGGTTTATACTTTATTTCTCCAGTGACATTTACAGTTGAATATAAATTATAAGCCTGCTTGCACACCAAAGCCAGGTCCTTTTGGTGGTTCAGTCAGAGAGGTAAGACCTCCAGCTGGCTCACAAGAGAATCGCCCACTCCTGAAAAGACAAATAACATGATATTGATCACTAATGATAAACATTTGTAGATTTATACATTAAAATATTAAATAATTAAGGACCAGCAGGTGGCATAATCTAGAGAAGGAATAGTGTTACATTTAAATTGTAAATTTATGACATGAAACGCAAAGAAAAAAAAAATTGTTGCTCATGAAAAGTTCAACAGGGCTCAGGATGAAAGACATTTTCCTTGTTATCTTTTTGTGCTACTTTATTGTTTACCTATTATGGAGTTTTAAAAAACCCTTAATTTGAAAGACATTGTTAATATTGTTTTAGGCATCATGATTATTAGTGAATAGTTTCTGGGGGTTTTTTTGGCATGTTTTTGCCTTAAGGCACATGTGGTGTGGGGAGGGGGCAGTGAGAGGGAAAATGAGAAATCACCCTCTGGGGGATGGTCACACCACCATCCCTTCTCCTGCATTCCCCTCCCAGCATGTGGGCATGCACTCATGCTCCCAGCATGAGTTTTAAACCACTGGCTCCCTAACCCAAACGTGGTCAGGCTCAGAAGCCCAGCACATTTAACCATTAAGTCATCTGCCCGCACTAGTGACTATCTCAAGAGCAAGACCAGTAACAGAAAACTCGTATAACAATTTGATTAGATTCATGCACGTATTAAAGCTAGCTATAATTTTTTCTCATTTGCAAAAAGTTAAAGTACTATCACTACTCTGCTGAACTGGATGTAATGTTTTTATCCTTTCTTTTAAACCGTAATATCCACATAACTGAAGGATATATTTTGTGTATCCACTGATCTTTCCAACTCAGACTTCCAATGTATTCCAATTACTTTTTGTACATGTCAGTGTTTTATTCCTTTAAAAAAAAAAAACCAGTTATGGAGACAAGTATCTTATCCTCTTTTATAACTTCAGTGTGCTTTACATGTTATTTACCAGTTGGAAGTAATAATGACAGCTGTGTGTTGGAAATATAAAAATGTTTAAGGGAAGGACTGACAAAGTTTATGAAAAGAGCATGTTAACTTAAATCTTAGCTGTGGTTAAAGATGGGAAAGCAAAATATATTTTGAAATTTGACAATCTTTACTTCATAGTAACCTAATACTAACTATAAAAGTGGCCTAGCAGTTGAAAATGAAGTGATGTTGGAGTAACTGTTAAGTAGATTATGTAATAGTCTTCATAGCCACAGATACCAGACTTTAAAATGGCAGTCTCGTTTTGACATTATTTTGACATAATACAGCTGCAAGTTGCTAGGTTACCACCAAGATATACAGAAAGGAGAATAAACAAATAATATAAAAAGTTTATGTAGGTAGGAGGTTTATACTTTATTTCTCCAGTGACATTTACAGTTGAATATAAATTATAAGCCTGCTTGCACACCAAAGCCAGGTCCTTTTGGTGGTTCAGTCAGAGAGGTAAGACCTCCAGCTGGCTCACAAGAGAATCGCCCACTCCTGAAAAGACAAATAACATGATATTGATCACTAATGATAAACATTTGTAGATTTATACATTAAAATATTAAATAATTAAGGACCAGCAGGTGGCATAATGGTTAAGGCATTGGATTCCCACATGGCCGATCACAGTTCGAAGCCCGGACGCAGTGGATTGGAAATTGCTCCAGGCGTGTGTGTGTGTATGTCCAAAATCCTGAGAGGAGAATGGAGAAGGGATGGCGGAGTGGCCACCCCACCCAGGGAGTGATTTCTCACTTTCCCTTTCTCTCTTTCTCTGGTGAGCATACATGCCCTAGGGCAAAACCCTAAAAATAAAATGGATAAAATTAGTGGAGAAAAAAGGTTCCTTCACAACAGACCAGCTAAATAACTCTTTTTCCTAGAACTGGCACAGATTATTTAAACATTTTAATGGCTACAAGGATTTTCTCTTCCTAAAGAAAGACATACCAGAACTGACCATAACTATAAGAAACATTTTGAAAGCACTTACAGTAATTCCCATATATTGATAAGTATATGTGCATTAATTCATCTATCTTTACAATATTGACTTTATTTTATAAATACAGAAAACAAGGTTTGGGAGATACACCATATGACCAAGAATCAGGGCAAATAACTATGACTAAACCCAACCCAGGACAGTTTTTAAAACTATATTTTAATAAACTAGAGCACATTTGTTCTTTTTGTACTTTAGTTTTATTTAGATTGACATCTACTGTCACAGTGAATAGAAGGAATACAAACACTTGTATAATGTATTTGGAAATAGAGAAATTAGATTTCTTAAAAAATCAGAAGCAGTGAAGCCAAGGGGCTGGCAAGTGGCATGGTGGTTAAAGGTACTGGACTCCCACATGGTCATCATGATTCAAGTCCCAGAACTAGTGGCTTCCCTTCTCACTTTCCTTCCCTCTCTGGTCAAATTTGAAAATAATAATAATAATAAATAGAATCAAAGGATTCTTAATAATTAAAAAAAGGTAGTGAGGCCAAACTGTATTTGTTTTTCTTAACGTATAGGAGTGGTCATTTTTAGAAAGAATTTTTCAGATCAAGGCCACCACCAATAGAAAGAACACAAAACAAGAACAGGTCCTATTGGAGCAATCTATGCAGACAGGCAGCTCAGAAGCAGAAGAACCTGTCTGTCTTTTCACCTCCACACATACTTTCCCATTACTCAACTCTGCCCTGTCTGACCTCGATTCCTAGAGCCCAGCTCAGCACCTACTTCATATCATCCCAACCCCTCCCCACCTTCCCACTGCTTTGCTAATTTATGTTGTTCCTGCCTCCGATGTTAGCTGAGTATCTTGTTCAGTTTATTATTTTTTTCAATCCTCTGGCTTTGCCTTTCACATCCTGTCAATTCTATAGTGTACTTTTTACAATCCTGGGAAATAACTTTTTGTTCAGGGGACAGGAAAATGATACATAATTTTTTTTTGAGAGGTTTTTGCTATAGGGTACTGCTCTCACCAGAGAAAGGGAGAGAAGAAAGTGAGAAATCACCCCCCCTGGGGCGTGGCCACAGCACAATCCCTTCTCCTCCATTTTCCTCTCAGGATCCTGCACACGCATGCACATGCGCCCGGTGTGAGTTTAAGCCACTGAGTCTGGGACTCGAACTGTGGTCGACTACATGGGAATCCAGCGACATAGCCATTACACTAGCTACTGGTCCCACCACATAATTTTTAAGATCTTTCAAGCTGGAGCTGGCAGGTGGCATGGCGGTTAAAGGTGCTAGACTCCCACATACTTGACCGCAGTTGGAGTCCCAGACCTGGTGGCTTGTTTTCTCACTTTCCCTCTTTCTCTTTCTATCTGATCAAACTGGAAAATAATAATAACAAAGTTAAATAAAATAATTATTAAAAAAAAATCTTTCACGCTATCAAGATATGTAAGTGCTGTGATGAATAATGCCAACAAATCAGAAGTTAATGTATTTGGATATAGGTCTTTTTGTTCACTACAAATACCAGATTTAAAAAAAAAAATAGTCACAGAGCACTGTCAGAACCTAAGAGTAATGTTGTAGGGTATGTGGCAAAATAATATTTTAACTTAAGTCTGCTACACGGTCTGGTGGTTAGGGCAGCAGGATCTCACTAGACCTCACGGTTCAAGTCCCAGGCCCCACAGCTTGAGAAACACCTACTACCCCTGCCAATGAAATAATGAAATTTATTTTAAAGGAACCTTCTTTATTAGGTTAGCATTTGTGGTTTAAGCTTAGCTACAACATCCATCAAATTTCTTCTCTGCTAAACCAAATGTCTGAATGGAATGTGATTTATTTAAATGCCTCCTTTTAGAAGTCTCCTGAAAGCTGAGTATTTGGTATCTTTCTAAAACCTCTTATCAATTTGGATAAATAGGTATCTTTTTAAATAAATAAGGCTGTTAATACTGATTATCTTCTTTACCTATACAAAGGATCAAGTTAGGATAATAATAATAATAACTGAAGGTTTGGGTCAGCCAGGTGGCACAGTGGTTAAGGCAACTGGATCCAGTATGGCTGATTGTGCAGTTCACGTCCCAGACCTGGTGGCTTGAAAAACAGGTACATGCGTGCCAAAATAGAGGAGAGTGGAGGGAGGAGACTGCGCTATGGTTGTCCCCCTAGGGATGTCTTCTCACTTTCTCTCTCATTCTGTCTCTCTCTGGTGAACACACTGCCCGCCCAAAAAAGGTTAAGAAGGTTTAAAAGAAAAGAACCTTAAATTTCTGGAAATAAATAGAAGACTTAATCTTATGTACTTCCTGAGCTCTTTATAGGATTACAGAATTTATATACAGATATTAATAATATATACAGAAACTAATAATAATATGATCAAGAGTTTTCTAAATTTTCTTCTACGAAATTCTAAATTCATAATATACTTTAGGTTCCAGTGGCCCAGTATATCTGGCTGCAAATCTTTTCCCTGCCATTCACACAACAGGCAAAATACTACAAAGTCTACAAAATCCTCCAGGAAAGTTTGTAACTTTGTTTAATCTACTAATCATGTAATTCTACCCCACCCTACCCTTATTTCATTTGTAATATGCCTCATAACACTGGAGAAGCAGTAATCTAAGCCTTATTCATTCAGCCACAATTTACATTAAGGTTTTTCACTTAATGAACAAAAAAATTATTTCCTTAATGTCTCCTGCTTAAAGCTAGTGCTTAATTATTTTTTTATTAAAACTCAAATTAGGATGAGAATGCTAATCCTTTAAGCAAATTCAATTCTACATACTCATGGTGTTGAACATAGTATATGTTTTTTAGAAAAGGAAATAATAGTAAAGGGGGAAGGCAGCTAGTTTCCCAAATTTTAGTTACCTTGAACTGACCTCATTTTCTCATTTATTAAGGTTTTTGGTTTGCCAAAACAATAAGTGAAAACTTCCAGGGAGCAAACTGTAGAACCACATATACCCTCTGACTTAACTTAATGTCAGGGAATTGTTATTTATCATACAAAATGGGAGAAAATATTTTAAGAAGGGAATAAAGAGCACCTTATAGCTCTTTTATAGCATTTAAATACTGTATGGTCATTAAAATCTACAAACATGTTGAAAAGGAAGTTGACATGACATAAGCAGGAAAAAATACAGATAAATTACTTCTATACAAAAACCATGTAAATATTTACTAATATTAAGAGAGAATTTTGAATAACTGAACACTTCAGATATGAAACAGAGGTTTGTTTAGCACTAAAAGTTTGTTCATAACTGAAAGAAAGTTAGTATACCAACTACAGGATGGAAGTAAGCTGGATAATCAGTGGGCAAGCTGAAAAAATCTAGGCATTCTAATTGACTATTAAGTACAACTCTTATTCAACATGTAATTAGGGTGCATTATAACAAGTACAATGTTTGGAACAAAGGAGACAGTTTCCCAGTGCTCTGTATAGTTCAGTACATATCTGTGATTAGACGTTAAGCGCACTGGCCAACTAGAAAATCCATAGAGGGAGACCAAAACTACAAGAAAAAGCAAAGAAGAACTGTGGATGTTCAATTTGAGAAAAAGATATGGGGAAGACAAGATAGCTTTGTCAAGTAACTGAAAGTTGTTTCAAGTAACTTACATAATTTGGAAAAGGCATTAAAATTATTTTGGGTTCATTCAAAGGGCAGAACTGGGTCTTTAGGTAAAAATTAGAGGGAAACAAGTCTTTGGGTCAATCTTATAGCAGTACAAACTTTAAAAAATGGAAGAGAGTTCAATTTGTAGTGAATTTTCCTTTTCTATAAATATTCAGATAGATTGTAAATAATCATGTAAGGGAGTTTTAGAGAAAAAAATCCTGTTCTAAATGACAGGTTGATTTATATACTATCCAAAGCTCTGCCAACTCTTGTGAATTTAATTAGGGCATAAAATTTTAGAAATTTTCTGTGGAAGATTAACTTACGTTGAGTCATTAAAACCTATTATATGCAAATAAAAGGCATACCTTGGCCCAGGTTTTGGCATTTTGCCAGCCTTGAGCTCATCGATAATTTCTTCAATATCTTTAGGTGTCAGATCCTCCTAGAAAAACAAAATTACAACAGTCATATTGAAATAACTTTCTCCTACTGAGATGTGTTTATCTTTACTCTCTGAAGCAATTATTAATCATTCTCAATCCAAACCATAGCTACTAAGGTAGGAATAACTGAGTAACTCAAATATATAATATGTATTGCCAAATATAATATACAACAAGAGCTGTAACTAAAGAGGCAGTACAGAGTAGAACTGGTAAACATCTGCATTTGAGTTCTGGCTCTAGCATTTACTAGCTAGCAATCTTGGACAAGTTACTCAGCTAACCCATGTTTGTTCTCTATTGATAAACCTTCTTCAGCATGTTTCTGAAGATTAAATGAGGAAATATATAAAGTACAAGAGTACCAAAGCACATGTTCAATTAATACTATATCCTTGTAGTAACTTATAAGAGGATGCCTAGTACCAATGAACCCCTAAAGACGTAACTAATACTAACTAAAAGAATTTCTATCTCTTGAACAATTTCATCCATAGACTACTATATTTAGACTTACAATACTTCACAAAAAGCTTTAACAGTGTGGGCCAGCCTTCATCTGGTGGTTAAGATGGCTGGATCCCACATGACTAACCTCTCGTTTTGAGTCCTAGACCTGGCATCCTAAAAAAAATGACAGGTGTATGTGTGTATATATGTCTGTATGTATGTATGTGCCCCAAAGCCCAAGAGGGGAAGATAGAAGAGAAAGGATTTTGGTGTGACCATAAGCCATGGAGGCTATGTTTTTCATTTCTCTCTCTCTCCTGGGGAGTACACACATCATTTGGCAAAAGAAAAAAATAAAAAGCTATTTAAATCAAAATAAATACACAGAGGTCAAAAACTCAATAAAAATGTAGAGACAAATGACCACCAAGCAAACTTGGCTTCAAGGTTTCAAAGCCTAAAGGTAAGGGGCAAAGCCCCAGGCCAGTCTATGAGAGTCTTAACAGGTGACAATCCAAACAACATAAAGTTCCCAACAAGCTGTATGTATCCTCAATATAAGGGTAAACTAAAAATTAAACTATCCAGGGCCAGCAGATGGCATAGTATTTACCTTGCTGGAGTCCCATATGGCCAACTGCAGTTCAAGTCCTGGACTTGGTGGCTCGAAAATCACACCAGGTGCGTGTGTGTGTGCCTAAAGTCCCAGAAGGAGAATGGAAAAGGGATTGTGGAATGGCCATCCCCCCTTGGGGGTGATTTCTCACTTTCTCTGTCTCTGTCTCTCCCTGGTAAGCACATGTGCCCTAAGGCAAAACCTCTTAAAAAAACCAAAAACTAAAACAAAACTGGGGCCAGCAGGCGATGTAGTGGATAAGAGTGCTGGACTCCCACCCAGCTGACTACAGATCAACTTTTAGACCTGGCAGATTGTTTTCTCATTTTCTCTCTCTCTCTCTGTCTCGCTCTGGTCAAATTGAAAATAATAATAATGATAAATAAAATAAAGGAAATAATTCTTAAAAAAAAAATTAAAACTATCTCTGAAACAAAACTAGTCTGAAACCTTTCACAATGAGATGCGGCAGGGTCTAGGGTTAGGGCATAAGGAGCTTTTGCGGGGCCAGTAGTACTTCTAGGAACAAGAGAGAAGCCAAAAAAAAAAAAAAAATCCCTTCTTAAAGAATCTACTTTTAGTACAAACCTCAATTTCATAAACAAGTTTCTAATAAATTTGTTATATATATATTCAATATATCAAGAATGAAAATCATGATATAAGGAGTCTAATTGGGGAAAAAAACCTAGAAAACTCCACACATTTGGATATTAAAAAGACTTTTTTTTAATTTACAGGCCAAAGAAGAAATTTAAATGTAAAACTTGTGAGATCCTAGGTAAAGCAGTGCTTATAAGAGATATGATACTATTTCTGTAGAATTTTTTGAACAAGCAATATAACACATTAGTATGGCTGCATATATACATAGAAAAAGCCTTCAAACATGTATGGGAAGAATACACATTAAATTTATGATAACACTTATCTTGAGATAAAAGGAAGAGAATGGGATTTGTATCTGTAGCCTTTTCTACAAATGATATTGTTGATGACAGTACCACCCAAAGTGTGGCAAAATGTTACTTATCTTTTAAGTCTTGGTGGTTATTTTCTGTACATGTCTGTGTGTGTGTGTGTGTGTGTGTGTGTGTATGTAAATTACTAAATACTTCGTAATTTTAAGGTTTTTAAAATTCGTTGTTTTCTTTTGGAATCAAACAAAAATATTTAAAGACAGCAATTAAAAAAAACCTCTCCTGGATATTTATACTAATAGTATCTCCTAAATAAATAATGCAGAAACCACAAACTATAAGACATATTTAAGTATGTTAAATATGACGTCATCATGCAACTTTTAATTTACATGAAATGAAATACTCACATAGTAATTGTCATTTATTTGAACCATTGGTGCATTTACACAGGCTCCTAAACATTCCACCTCTATTAGAGTGAAAAGTTTGTCAGGCGTAGTCTCGCCAACTTTTATTCCTAAAAATATAAATCATCACTGTAAGAACCAAGTAGTAATTTAAAGTGATTTGGTTTAAATAAAACACATAAGCACACATACACATTTTATATATATAATATATATTAATTTATATATTATTTTATATACTACTTTTTAAAATTTATTTTATACTACTATTTTTTTTTACAGAGGTATACAAAAAGTATTTGAGAGCAGTAAGTTCTGTTTTAAAAGAAATTAAAATCTTTTTATAATTATACTATAACACTCAAGAATTTCTTCTTTAGAAACAATGAAATCTCAGGGACTATCACCAGTATTTGTTGTTGTGTAACTGTGCTTCATTCTATCTTCATTGTGATTATGATCATTAAACTACTAAAAATCAAAGTCATATTATCAGATTGACAAAGACTCAAAAACTCTTAATACCAAAGATTATTAAGGATGTAAGAAAAATGGGTACTTGTACATTTAGGAAAGACTTTTTGGCAAAATGTGGTGAAGTCTGGCCCAGCAGACTTTATTATTTGTTATAATCAACTTCAGTATACAGTAAGACAAGTATGGAAAGATATGTGTCCACGAAAATAACTGAAGAGTAACTTTCAACAGAAAAATGAGGCAGCAAATATATTATGCTATAGGAAGACAGCCAAAATATAGGGCAAGAATAGATACATTTCTGTATTAATTAAAATTAATATTAAATCCGTAACTATGGGGTCATCAGAGAAGTCATGATGCATTTTGCAAAGGAAAACAAACAAACAAAAATACATCATGCCTTTACAAAAGCTCAATAAATACACTCAAAGGTTATAATTTATACACTGGAGACTAGCAGTTGGTGTAATAGCTATGTTGCTGGACTTCCATGTAGTTGACCACAGTTCGAGTCCCAGACCAGGTAGCTTAAACTCACACTGGGCGCATCGCACGCATGCCCAAGATCCTGAGAGGAGAATGGAGAAGGGATTGCAGGGTGGCCCCCCCTGGCGGGGTGATTTCTCACTTTCACTCAACTATGTGGAAGTACAGTGACATAACCATTATGCCACCTGCTGGTCCATTTTCGTCCATTCTTCTGTCAGGATTTTGGGCATGTGTGCCCAGTGTTATTTTCAAGCCTCTGGCTCCAGTGACTTGAGCCACAGTCAGTCATGTGTAATCCTGCCATGTTAATCACCACACCACCCACTGACCCATGAAAATAATTTTCTAACAATAGAAAATGTTAAAGCCCTAAAAGCTTTTCAGACATACTAAATAATTAATAAAGAAAATGGAGAGGGGCCAGCAGGTGGTGTAGTGGTTAAGGCGCTGAACTCCCATGTGGCAGATCTCAGTTGAGTACTAGACCCAGGCTATAAACAAACACTGGACAAGTGTATGTGTGCCCAAATTCTCAAGAGAAGAATGGAGGAGAAGGGATTACAGCATGGCCTTCCCCCCTGCAGGGTGATTTCTCACTTTCTGTCTCTGTCTTTCTGGTGAGTGCACATGGCCTATATCAAAACTCTCTCAAAAAAACAAAAATGTTAAAATTAATAAAGGCTGGCAAACATAAGACAAAATTATTTATTGAACATACAGATCCAGTATGATGGCAAAACTTGGAAAATTTAGGTAAAAATATTCAAACCTAGAAAGACAATTCTAGTTTTTATAAAAATTACAAATAGAATGTATCCCATACCCAGCTTTTTCTGAATAGCTTCCAATATGCTGTCAGAGTTTCGAAGCATGCAAGGTGTAGTAGTGCAGACCTGAATGTGATACTTTCCAACTGGCTTTCTATTATACATTGTATAAAAAGTTGCCACTTCATATACTCTCATTGGAGGTACTTCTAAAACTTCTGCAACCTAAAATATCAAGGACATTTTAAAAATAAGACAACTGCATTTATTATTGTGAGCTTTAGATATGTCTTAAGAGTATAATTTCAATATTGCCTCCATTTGGTGAAACCAAAAGTTCTTCAAGAGAAGAAAACATAGTTTTATCTGATAACTTGAAAAATAAAAACCCTAGAAACCTTACATTTAAACCACACAGAGGTTAATGGGATTACAACACATCTTCCTCCTCTTTCCTATTCCTCAACGGCAAAGGACATTTTTTCTCAGTATCTTTTACTTTTTTCACTATTAAGAAAATCTGCTTTTATTATTTCAACTCATATATTTTTCTTTATGCCTAAAGATGCACATGAGAGAGAGACAGAGAGAGAACCACCCTTCCAACAGGGCCTGGTCATACTGCAATCCTCTCTTCCTCCATTTCTCCATCTTATAGGAATCCTGGCTATACACACATGTACCTAGCATGTTTTTCAAGCTGCTAGGCCTAGAATTCAAAAGATGGTTGGCCAAGGGGATGTAGCTTCCACCACAGAGCGATTAACTGTTATATTTTATCATTTAAATTGCCCAAATGGTAAAAATCTAGTGGCTAAACCCCGAAAAAGAAAAAAACTTACATTAAAAAAAAAAAAAAAATCCATCACTGGGCCAGCAGAAGGCACAGTGAGTGGTTACGGTGCTAGATTCCTATGTGGTTGATCACAGTCTAAGTCTTGGACCTAGCACTTGAAACACACAGGGCACGTGTGCATGAGTACCCAAAATCCTAAGAGGAGAAAGGAGAAGAAGAGATTGTGGTGTGCCCCCCGCCCCGGAGGGGGGTGATTTCTCACTTTCTCTCTCTCCAGTGAGTACATGCACCCTATAGGAAAAAATCTTAAAAAAAAAAAAAAATCCATCCATGCATACAAATAAAGCAACAGAAAAAAGGTAGTGAATTAAAGCTCACTATTACCCTGTAATTTTTAAGCTTCATTTCAAACTCAAAAGTTTTATCTTACAGCTATATAATACAACACACACCCTACTCTCTGGGATAACAGAAAACATTACTTCTATTTCCTATCACAATACTCTTTACAATAGCTGGGTTTTATAGGCTAGTACTTAACCAGATTTTCACACCAAGGCTTTGAAAGAAAATACGTTCTGAAATTCTGGGTTTCTGGTCAAAGGGAATCACTATCTCAGCATGCCTCTCAGAGCAAATCTGCTACAGAAAACATGTTTTTATTTTCTAGCTATTTGCTAGAGCTGGTCCTCTCATGTCTACAATTCTGGCTACAACTTTCTGGGTAACATAATATCATTAATCTATCAGATTTTAAGATTCTTAAAGATTATACATAAACCTATGTTCTGACATGAAAGAAAAGCTCAGTAAATGACATTTCAAATGACAAATATGTTGAACTTTCTCATATCAGGAATTCTAAAGAAAATGTATTCTCAAAAGACATCTATTTATGGTTCACTTGTGAAAGATAAAAGTAGGTTGCTATTTAATTTGGCGGTTCTAAATCTGGGACCTCTCTATCAAAACACAAATACTAGAGCCCTATCATAAGAATAATTTAGTAAGTGAGGCCCTGACTAATTTGAAAAGTTTTTTAAGCATTCTGCTACACATCTTTCTACACCTTAGTGACAAATGGAACAAATGAACGAGCTTCTAGATTTTTGTCCTAAGATTGTGTGTTTACAGATGTGGTAGAGGGGAGCTGGGGATATGGTAACATTAATTATAAGAGTCTCACAAGTAAAGTAAGAAAGAATCTTTTTTTTTTTTCTTGGAGAGGTTTTTGCTATAGGGCGCATGCGCTCGCCAGACAGACAGAGACAGACAGATAGAAAGTGAGAAATCAACCCCCAGGGGGGATGGCCACGCCACAGTCCCTTCTCCTCTCGGGATCCTGGGCATGCACGCACACGTGCACGGCATGAGTTTAAGCCACTGGGTCCGGGACTCGAACCGTGGTTGACTACATGGGAGTCCAACCGACATAGCCATCACACTAACTGCTGGTCCCAGAAAGAATCTTAATTCTAATCTCTGAACCATTATTTTCCTGCCTCTCCCCCATACATATCCAATTCTAAATAGAATGGGGGGAGGGGTGGCAGGCGGCATCGTGGTTAAGGCAGCTGGGCTCCCACATGGCTAACTCCAGTTCGAGTCCCAGACCTGGCAGCTTGCTTTCTCACTTTCCTTTTCTCTCTGGTCAACTTCAAAAATAAATAAATAAATGAAATGAAATAATGACAATGAATAAATTAAATAATTCTTTAAAAAAAATAGGACAGGGGCCAGCAGGGAGCATGGTAGTTGAGCCTCTGGACTCCCACATGGCAGACCATGGTTCAAGCCCCAGACCTGGCATTTTTCTTTCTCACTCCTCCCTGCACCCTTGTATCTCCCTCTGGTTATATTAAAAAATAATAATGAATAAAACATAATAAATATTAAAAAATAAATAAAATAAAAAATAGAATATTTTAAAATTTTAAAATGTTCTGTTAGTTTATAAAACTATTTTGTTCTGCTAAGTTTGCCATTCAGCAAGACTTCCAATGACTTGCCATTATTTAAAAAAAATGTTTATAAAATTCCACAAACAATAATTAGAAATATGTATCTAAACCACTGAGAAATTCAGCTATTTTAATTTTTTAAGAAGTCAAGAAACTGCCAAAGAAACAAAATAACCACCTAACTATGTCTGTCTACTAAGGACAGTACCTCATTAAACTTGTTTTATAACATTGTCCAGACTGCCAAAGATTCTAAGGGTCCACACAGTACTAGTGTTCTGTACAATGTATCAACAAACTAAATCTAAAATTTCAATTTGGGATTCTATTAGAAAAATTGAGGACATTCCTACTCTCTAAAAAAGATTAGGTGTAACATATGTCCAAATAAATTTTAGGAAGTGGTAAGAGGACTAAAATATACCAAAATGTTTCATAACCATCAGTCAAGTAGAAAATGCATTGAATTGGAAATGAATTCAGCCTTAACACTATCAATTAGAAATAACAACATAATAATTAGAAGATATCTAGTTTAAAACTTTCATTGCCAATGAATAAGTCCAGAAAAAAAATCAGATGTATTAGCTCTAAGTCAAATGCATTTTCTAGAACATAACATGGGTCAGTGGTTGTGCTTCTTCTTAAGAATCAAATACGTGGTTTTTTGGTGGTATTTTGTAAATGATACCCTACATCACCATATGACTGTAGTTATTATATTAACAGGATACTAATAAACTTGAAATTTGGATTGCTGCTATTGTTTTTCCATATTCATGAGAGTATGTTTGCATACATGCAGAGGTGGAGGGAGGCAAACCTTCAACAAGATCTTTCATGCCATGATCCCTTTCCCTCGGCCCTCCAATTAGTCAGGATTTAGGGCATATACACATCCGGCACATTGATTTGGAATCGGAACGCATGGTTGGCTATTTGGTTTCTAGCGCTACAGGTTGGTATACTGCCATAGCTTGTGCCATGGAGACTGGGTCAGAAAAATTAAACCTTAAAAAACGTGTATGAATAGACTAACTTCATATAAAATGGACCAACCATACCATTTCTTACAGGTTAATTCCAAGGTGGCATAAATACCATGTATATCATATAGACTTTTGTTAAAACTTATAGCTAACGATGAAAAATACTGAAGATTTATACAAGCTGTGAGAACTTTTGTTTGAATCCATGACCGAGTTGCTTGATAACCATACCAATCACATACATATAACAAGCCCAGACCCTGACAGGATAGAAATGAAGAAGGGATTATGGTGTGGCCACACCTCATGGGGATGCTTTCTTCTTCTCTCCCTCCCTCTGGAAAGTGCATGAATCCTCTGGCAAATTAATAATAATAATAATAATAATAATAAAAACCTCTAGTTCAGTGTTCTGCATTTCTGATTTAGGAAACTTACAAAAACACAAATTAAAGGAAACATAAATGACTAAAAGTCTCCAAACACAAAATATTAATGATTATCACAGTAACTGTTTTTATAAAAAAAGGATTTATTAACTTTTATTATTATTTTAAATTTGACTAGAGAGAGAAAGGGAAATTGAGAAAATAAGACACAGGGTCCATCGAGGACCTGACCCATGGTCAGACATGTGGTAATCCAGCCCTTACCCACCACACCACTTCCCAGCCTCTATCACTGTTAATTCTACATAAAGAAGTTATTATACACAACCTCTTTTCCTTTTGCTTTAAGGCAAAAATAAATTCAGTACCTTGTTCATAGCGGAGATCGGTAACCAACCATTTTGCCTTTGTGCTAAATCCAGAACTGGAAGCACAGCTGCTGCTTTATGCCCTTCTGGATAGTTTTTTACAATTGCCTCTATCCTCTGTATAAAAGAAAAGGTACCCATTTTATTTATCTGGAAGATTCTAAATATTTTGTAAACTTGTTACATTAATTTAGTCATACCTTGTAGTTTTCTGGTGTGAAATCAAATGGAGTATTTGGGTTATTCTCAGGAGTATCTCTGTGCTATACAAAGAAAAAGAGATTTTCCAAAATTATCAAAATTCTTTCAAAAATGTAAATGGCAATGCACATTACTATTACTGTTTATTTAATCTCTCTCCTTTAGTTCTAATGACACGTATCAATCTATTCTTCCATCAAAAAGAATAATTAAATAAACACTTGATGAATATGATTACCAAAGTAAAGTTAAAAGAATCCTAAATTGTATACGTTTTTGAAAACACTCTTTAAAGTTTAACAGAAGTAGTTTTAAGACAAAACAAACAACAAAATAAGCATTACTAACTTTAAGAGAGAATATTCTAATTACTAAATATTACCAAATTTGTTAGAAGTCTTACAAAATTAACAAACAATTTTGAATGTGAACACAGTTCACTTTTCAAAAAGGAGGATTATCAGATTGTCAAAGGAGATCTGGGATCCAAAAAGATTTAGACCCAGTTCTTGGGGCCAGCAGATGGCATGGTGGTTAGGTGCTGGATTCCCACATGGCTGACCATGGTTCATGTCCTGAACCTGGTAGCTTGCTTTCTCATTTTCTCTCTCACTCTCTGTCTCTCTCTGGTCAAATTAATAATAATAATAATTAATAAAAGGAAATAAAACATCAATAATTCTTAAAAAAAAAAAAGTTCTTCAGTAAAGATACAAAAGCACTATCTCTTCCCATATGTTTTCCATAAACAGAAACTCACTAACTTTAAGAAGCTTTATTTCTTCTCCTCAAAAGAGCAAATAGAGGGACTAGTAGGTGGTATGGTGGTTAAGGTGCTAGACTTCCACATGCTGGACCATGGTTCGAGTTCCAGAGTTAGTGGCCTAATAATCACACTGGTGCTCAAAATCCTGAGAGGAAAATGGAATTGAAGAGACTGTGGCGTGGGCATCATGCCCCTAGGGGGTGATTTCTCACTTTCCCTCTCTGTCTCTCACAAGCTTCCTCTCACAACCAAACCCTCTATGGCAAAAACCTTTTAAAAAAAAAAAAAAAAAAAAAGACTAGAAAGAGCAACCTTCTTCAAAACATGATAAGAAGTGTCATATCTACAGAAAATCAAATGGATCACACTGGGATTAACACATCAATTAATGTTTTGTATGTATGGTGAATACAGAACTCAATCTCTTGATAAATTAACTTTCACAGTTCAGCTCTTAGAAGGTGGTGTGGTGGTTAGGGAGCTGGACTCCCACATGGCTGACTACAGTTCGAACCTAAGATCTGGTGGCATAGGGATCATGTTGAGGGCATGTGCATGCATGCTCAGAGTCCTGAGAGGAGGATAGAGAAGGGTCTGTGGCGTGGCCAAGTGAGGGGTGACTTCTCACTTTCCCATTTTGTGTCTCTCCAGCAAGCACACATGCCTTATGGCAAAAACCTAAGAAAAAAATATTTAAAAAGTATAAACTGGAGCCAGCAGGTGGCATGGTGGTTAAGGCAGCAGGATTCTACATGTCAGACAGAGTTGTTCAAATCCCAGACCTGGCGGCCTGAAAAACACAACAGGCATGTATGCCCAAAATCCTGAGAGGAGAATAAAGAAGGGATTGTGGCATAGCCAATTCTACTGAAGGGTGATTTTTTTACTTACTTTCCTTCTCCCTCTCAGTGAGCACATGTGCCCTAGTGAAGATAAAAGGCTTTAATAAACCAAAAGAGGAAAGAAAAGAAACTTTGTACAATGATTTCAAGTATGTGACAAATTTGATGTTTATACATAATGATTAAACATAAAGCAAGAGACTATTTATTATACTATTAGTTCTAAATCACCATACTGCCTTTATACTTATTATTTTTAATATGCTTTAAGGTGCACTCACTCACTTGAGAGAGGAGGAGGGAGAGAAAGTGAGAATGCATCCCCAAACGGGAGGATGGCCATATGGCAATCCTGGCTCTCCTCCATTTCCTCTCAGAATTTTTGGTGTGCATAGGCACATGCACACGCACGCGCGCAGACACACACACACGGCCTGCCATGTCTTCCCCTGCCATGTCTTCAAGCCATGTGGTCTGGGAATAGAACCTATGCAGTCAGCCATGTGAGATCCAGCCAACTTCCCTACCACTCCACTGTTTGGCCCAACAAGCCTACTACATTGCCTCTAAACACTAGATTCATCCCTGAAAACTGCAACTTTTCAGAAAAAGGGAATAAAATTATCTTATCCTTCCTGAATTGTGCAAATAAGCTGCAGAGTTCATAGAATTATACCTGTTGTAAAACCCTGTAAATAAAAAATTTAAGGGCCAACAGTAAATGTTCGCGTTATCATCATTCTGGGATTCTCCAAGTTGCAGTCTTAGAACATCCAGTGAGCTGGGGCCAGCAGGTGGCATGGTGATTAAAGGTACTGAATTTCCACATGGCTGAATGTGGTTCAAGTTCCGGACCTGGAAGCTTGTTTTCTCCCTTTGTCCCCTCTCTCGCTCTGGTCAAATTAAAAAAATAATAACAAATGGAATTAAGTAATTTTTTGGAGAGGTTTTTGCTTCCGGGTGCATGCGCTCGCCAGGAAGACAGAGAGACAGAAAGTGAGAAATCACCCCCCCAGGGGGGGTGGCCATGCCGCAATCTCTTCTCCTCCATTCTCTTCTCAGGATCTTGGGCACACACGCACGCACGGCGTGAGTTTAAGCCACTGCATCCGAGACTCAAACCGCGGTCTACTACATGGGAGTCCAGGGACATAGCCATTATGCTAACTGCTGGTCCCTAAATTTTTTTCTTGGAGAGGTTTTTGCCATAGGGCGCGTGTGCTTGCCAGAGCGATAGAAGGGAGGATGGCCACACCAGAATCCTCTCTCCTCCACTCTCCTCCTCTCGGGATCCTGGGCACGCATCCACACATGCCCAGCATGAGTTTAAGTCACTGGGTCCGGTCTGGGACTTGAACTGTGATCAACTACATGGGACTTCAGTGCCGTATCCATTACGCCATCTGCTGGTCCCATAAATATTAAAAAAAAAAAAAAAAAACTTTCAGTGAGCCAACATGACTGACTTTTTTCATTTCTTTTTTTCTTTCTTTTTTTCCTTATGATATAAAGTACATCCACGAGAGAAAGCACCCCATAATGGGTTTTGTTACACTTCAGTCCCCTTTCCCCAGCCCCCTTAGAGTTCCTGCATGTACGGTATGTTTTTCAAGTCAACCAGCATCTGAGTCACAGTCGCCATTATCACTTCCAACAATGCAGATACCAGCATTACTGCTAAACCAAGGTAGATGGGTCAGTGTGACTGATTTTTATGAACCCAAAATGTGATGAAAGTTAAGGTTAGGAACTCATAGTAAGTATCCCAAAGAAAAATCTAAATTCTTATTCCTTTTTTTTTTTTGGAGAGATTTTCACTATAGGGCGCGTGTGCTCGCCAGACAGACAGAGACAGAGACAGAAAGCTAGAAATCCCCCCCCAGGGGGGATGGTCACACCGCAGTCCCTTCTCCTCCATTCTCCTCTAGGAATCTTGGGCACATACGCACACGTGCCCAGTATGAGTTTTAAGCCACCGGGTCTGGGACGCGAACTGCGGTCGACTACATGGGAGTCAAGCGCCATAGCCATTATGCTAACTGCTAGTTCCCTAAATTCTTATTCCTTAACTAAGTTTCCCTGTCGCTATTTTAAACTTAAGAGGTTCAGCTAGAATGGTTCATCTTTTGAGATGTAGTGAATTCAATTAGCTGTATTTAAATTCCCACAATGGCCAGCATATATAGCAGAAACTGATGTTTAAGATTGGATTATTACAATGGATTTACTCAAATTTCCAAGTATTTCATTCTGAAGCAATCTAAGTAATTACTTACTACAAATAAGGCTCCTCCAGCTCCATTTTGTGCAGCTGTCTTATGCAAATTCCTTGTATATCTTCCCTAAAATTTAAAATTTTGAGAAAGTTTAGTAAGTCTCAGCCTCAAGAAATATTTCATACTTTATCATTCATAATTTAAACAATGGTATCAACCTGCAAAAGTAGATAATCTTAGGAGACATAGTCTAGCACACTACGCCCTGCCCATCTCTGTTTCAAAAGAGATTTAAGGAAATAGAGATCCAAAGTCTAAAGTCACGGAAGGGTTAACTGGAGAACCAGGACTACCACACGGATCTATTAAGTTGTGTAATATTTCTACTACACTCTACTGGTATGTATCTGGAGAATTAATGCACCATTAACTTATTGCCTTTCACTTTTGTCTGAATCAAGTTAGATGCTGGCTTTCATTTAATGTGAACCTTTGTAAACATGTTTTCATTCTGTACAAATGAGTCATACTGTCTGTAAGAATGAGTCAACTATATCCTCCTTTTCATTCCTTAACTAAATTAGTTCAGAAACTCTAGCCATAAAAGTATTTTGAGAAAACTGTTATGACATGCAGACTGACAATGTTCAATGGCTTTGGAAGGAATCTGATTTTTCTTTATGTTGGATTTTACTTCTCTTTGGTCTCTTGATCCTTCTCTCCATTCTACTCAGCTTTCAAGCAAGATAACTATTGCTCTAGATTCCTCAGCTTTGGAGTTCTAATCACAGATCGAAGAACACTGTATCAGACCAAGAATGGCACTGGCAAAGAGTCAAACAAGTCAAAGAAGGCAAACATAAAAGAGAAGTAAAAGGAGTGGTATAACACAAGCTTTTCGCTTGGCCCAAATACATTGGTTCAAGAGTTTTTTACAGGGAACACTTGGTTTTAATTAACAAGACAAGACCCAGGTACAGAAAGTGAGACATAGGTACAAAATATAGAAGTGATGTCAGTTTCAGGACAACAGAAGGGCAAGGGGTTGCAATCAGAAAAAGATATACAAGAGAGCTTAAGTCATTCTTTTAAAAACGTGTTACATTTTTTATGCTTCACGTATTCAATATATAAGGTGTTTTTTTTTTAAAAAAAAAAATGTGGAATTTACAGTCAAGGAGACAGTTTGTATTCTACTTTCATTCAATTTCTCCCCAAATTACTTCATGACTGTTCTATAAATTAAATGCAAGATAAAGCCTATGCAAAACCTGAACTGAGATAAAACCTAAAACTAAGGCTATAATTCTGACATAATACCATCAAACAACATCTGCATAGTTTTGAAAAATTAAGTTAAAATTTAGAAGTCACCATTTTAGTTGAGAAAATACTTTTAAAAATCAAAAAACACAGCTGGCGGGGTCATGGTAGTTAAGGTATGGGATTTCCATATGACCAACTACAGTTTGACTCCTGGACCTGGCAGCTTGCTTTCTCTCTCTGGCCAAATTGAAGAATAATAAAAATGAATAAAATTAAATGAGCAATACTTCTTAAAAAAATAAATAAATAAAAAGCAGTCTGTCTTTGTACCGCACACCTAATTTGAGAGGCAGATATTATTCTTGTTCCAAGAACTCTACACTTTTTAATTTAGGGAAGGTGGATTTGAGAATTATCTCATCTTTGAATTTCAGAAACCATTTTAAAACTGAGAAGCCATTTTAAAGCTGAGGTGTGCCCTGGCCTGTTCAGGGAAGCTATGCTCCAAACTCCATCTTCTAGACTCCCGAAATATTCAGACACGGTACGGTGACCTCTGTCTTCTTGCTGTCTCTAGTCGTTCTGTCACTCTGTCTCGTGCTCTCTCTCTCTTTAAATTTTAAATTTTTAAAAAAATTTTTCAACCACTTCTCCTCACCTTGGACCTTTTCCTTCCACTTAATTTCAGAAGCCATTTTAAAGCTGAGGTGTGTGAGGTGTGTCCTGCCTGACTGTGCAGTGCACTAGCCTGCCACGCGTTAATTTTTCACATGCAAAAAAAAAAAATATTTTTTCCTCTGTTAGTAGTATTTTTCTAGTTTTTTAATTTATTTTATTTTTTTTAACCTTACTTTCCCACTCTAAGTTTCACTCTCCACACACTGAATGTCTAGATAGGCCTTTGTGCACAGTAAGTAGCCAAGCATTTCTACTTTTAGAATCACTGAAATCCTCAACACTTATTGAACCTCTTGCTTTAAGTTAGAAACTTCTTTTTATAAATCTGAACTGGTAATCTCTTTCTGTGAATACCATACTGCAAAGCACAGTGGTAGAGAGATTTTTGTCACAGAATGATGAGAAACCACCGCAGAGGCACAAGAAACATGAGAAATCAAGAAAATTTCTCTCTTTTAAGGGAAGAGAATGATCTCATCATTCACAGACAGTACAGTAGAACTCTTAGAAATGTCTGATAGAGAATTCAGAATATTCGTAGTGAGAAAACTAAATGAGATGGAAGAGCTGAGAGATAATGAACTCCAGAAGATGCAGGAGAAAAGAGATGAGTTCCAGGAGGTGTTGAAGTTCTTCTACCTGAAAGAGGAAATACACACCATAAAAAAGGATCAAATGGAACTATTAGAGATAAAGGCTGTCATTCAGGAAATAAAAACCTCCCTTGAAAGTATTAAAAGCAGATTAGTCTATGCAGAAAATCAAACCTCGGATGTTGAAAGCAAAACCTCTGATGTAGAAAAAACAACCAAAAAAACTGAGAAAATAACCCCCCAAAAATGAGAATACTATATGAAAAATACTAGACAGCATTAAGCGCTCAAACATCAGATAATCGGTATCCCATAATAAGGACATTGATAATCTACTCCGTGATATCTTGGAAGAAAACTTTCCAAATCTAGAGAGGTGTTCAAACATCCAGACCCAAGAAATACAAAGGACCCCTAATAGAATCAACCCAAGAAGATCTTCTCCAAGGCACACGATAGCCAGACTGGCCAAATCTACAGACAAAGACAAGATACTAAAATTGACAAGAGAGTAATGTCAGGTACTTATAAAGGTTATCCAATCAGGCTAACCTCAGACCTCTCATCAGAAACAATGTGCCAATAGCAGACACACTCTTCAAGAAGTTCTGAAAGGAGTGTTCTACCAGGAAAACTTAAGACACAAAAAGAAATAAGAGAACAAAAGGCAACCAAGGGAACCAGCAGTTAGCGTAATGGCTATGTCGCTGGACTCCCACGTAGTCGACCGCGGTTCGTGTCCTGGACCCGGTGGCTTAAAACTCACGCCGGGCGCGTGTGCGTGCGTGCCCAAGATCCCGAGAGGAGAATGGAGGAGAAGGGATTGCAGCGTGACCATCCCCCTTGGGGGGTGATTTCTCGCTTTCTGTCTCTATGTCTCTCTCTGTCTGTCTGGCGAGCGCACGCGCCCTACAGTGAAAAATCTCTCCAAAAAAAAAAGAAAAAAAAAAGGCAACCAAGAAAATGACCAATTTAATGTTAGGGACAATAAATATTAGTAACAACACTGAATTTTACCTTTCAGGATTTAAACAGAAAGATTGGACCACGGTAACATTGCATATTCAACAGACAAAAGTTTGAACATAAGGCTGAATAGGTGAAATAGAGTTTTATGACTTTCTGAGGGAAACATTACTGATTTTTTTTTTTACTATGCTTTGTTTTCCCAATTTAAGCATTTTACCTTCTTTTGAGTTGCTGATAGGTCCAGCAATTTGTTAAAATATTTTTCTTGTTTGTTTCTTTAAATGAAAACATAGCTCTTTCTGTGCAGATAGCAGGCCTACAAGCATGGTGAACGTCCCTAAAACTCCCTAAAACCCACCGGACCTTCTGTAAGAAGTGTGACAAGCACCAACCTCATAAAGTGACATACTACAACAAGGGCAAGGATTCTCTGTATGCTCAGAGAAAGCAGCATTATAGACAGGAAGCAGAGTGGCTATGGTGGACAGACTAAGCCTATTTTCTGGAAAAAGGCAAAAACTACAAAGAAGATTGTGCTGAGGCTTAAGAGAATGCTGGCTATTAAGAGATGTAAGCATTTTGAACTGGGAGGAGATAAGAGAAACGGACAAGTGATCCACTTCTAAGCCTCATCTTTTCTATTATGAAGAAGACAAAATCTTGAGGTGAATGTTCACCTCATTTGATTACAGTTGGTCTATCTGTAAGGGAATAAAGCAATCAATAAAATTCCACTTTCAGGGAAATTTGATTCATGGTACTACTTGTTTTGGATTAAATCTGACTGGCTGAGTTCAAAAAAAATAAAAATTAAAAAAAAAAAGAAAACATAAACTTTTCTCCCTGACCCCTCTGGAATTGGAAAATATTTGGGAGTATTCTTACTTTGTGCCAGAAGGGTTATTTGCAAAAGTTCAATAATGCTTGTTGCACTGAATCAGAAATTGAAGGGACCAGCAGTTAGCGTAATGGCTATGTCACTGGACTCCCATGTAGTCAACTACGGTTCAAGTCCCAGACCTTTTTCTCATTCCAATCACTGCATGTATCAAATTAACCTCTGCCAATCTCTAAATTAAAATGACTTCTGTTTTGGATTATCTTTCTCATTAATCCAGGATATATATCATGTACATTCATTTAAAATAATAAAAGACAATCTTGAAAATTGCTACGTGGCTACAGACAAAATCTATTTTGAGGTATCCTCTTGAAGACCCATAACTTTAGATATGTACATGAATTTCCACACACATTTCTATCCTAAACTCAATTAAATTTTTTGCTTTGTTAGTTGACTTTAATAAAAAGTCACTGTCAGAATTAAGCAATTACTGAGTTTGTGCACTTGCACATATTTTTTATTTACATCAACATAAATGTTATCAGCTTTTCTGGTGAAATAATGTATTTCAATTGGCTGAAAAACACAATCTCTTTCCTCTCCACGGAAATTAACATATAAATTTCCTTTTAACTTGAGGTAGGGAAGAAGGAATGAGTGCTATAGAAAATTGTACAGGGATTTCTGCACATCTTATCAGCAGAGGCACTAACACCTTTATTCTAGATTATCTTTTCAAAGATGTTTATAGACAATGTCTTTCCCTGGGGCAAGGG